AACAACACTCTGGAGTACTTTTTTGATATCTCAAATGCATCTGGGTGTACTATTCCTTTAATATTTTCCCTGAAGAGAGAGGTTTTCTACTTTAGTTCTGTCTGCTGCTGCATTTCTCTGCTTTCCCTTCTTTGTTCAGCGAGTTAAATCGTCTCACTGTAAATGCCTGGATGTGTCTCTATGTGTGTTTGTAGGAAGGGCTTCCACAGCTGGCCCTGAGAATCACCGACTTCCTGATTGATCTCTTCCTTTTTTTTTACATCTTGCTCTGTATCTCAGCTCCTTCTCGTTTCTTTCCTTCAGAGCCATCGGAGCCAACCCTCTGTACTGCGACTGCCGGCTGCTCTGGCTGTCAGACTGGGTGAAGAGCGGCTATAAGGAGCCCGGCATCGCCCGCTGCGCCGGCCCCCGGGGCATGGAGGGCAAGCTGCTGCTCACCACACCAGCTGACAAGTTTCAGTGTCTGGGTGAGTGGAGACAGAGTCCTTCTGTCTGTTAAGACAGCACATGAAACAGAACGGACTGGTTGAGGATTTTATAGCATGCATTGCTCTCCCTCTGCCTCTGTTCATCTGTTTTCTAATCAACATAACTAAACATATTATTAAAAAACATGCATATAGCCTAATGTTGTTTTTATTGAGGAAATTAGAGAACAGCAGATTTAGCTGGGCTTACCAGTCGTTTAAATTCGAAGCATACATTCATCTAAACGCTAAAGCTTCCTAATGGGCAGTCTTTAATGAAATCTTTTCAGCTGGTGTGGCACACTAAAGAAGTTGGTGGCTGTTACTCCCACACACTCACAGCTGCAGGCACTGCAGTGCAGACGGATCTAATCTACAGAAATGTACAGAAACGGCCAGCGCACACATACGAAATCAGACTTTGCTGCAGGTGGAGGTTATGCTGCACTGGGATCTGTTTTATAGTCCTTTAAATCCAATGTGTTTAGGTTCCACTAACTAAACCAGTTCTTTTAACTAGCTTTAAATACGTTATGAGGAACTATAAATAACAAACTATGTTTACTGAACGTAGTGTTTTCTATAGGAGGCCGTGACTCATTTATTCAACATTGTGCTACATATATGCATCTATTTGTTCATCCCACATAGTTTAATGCATATGGTTCAGCCTCATGGCCTCAAACCATGCAGCACATAAACTGATATTCAGCTTTAGTTCAAGGGTTGTAAAGAACTTATCGCCTGCTGTTATTATACACAACCAGATAGAATACGCTGTGGTGGTCCTGTGCTTGTTTCACTGAAAGTGTTATCACTGTTTGGAAATTATATATATCTCAATTTGTGCATCTAGAAATATATTTTTTGAACAATTTTTAGATGGAGATGGAGAAATAGTTACAGAGACGGTCTGCGTTTGTATGTTTCTGACTGCAAAGTTAAATCTGTTGATAATTAATTATGAATATTTCTTCTCATTATTACTAAGTAGGGATGCAAGTTATTAACTTAATGAATTAATCTAAATTTGTCGATGTCAATTATATTTATAAAGCACTTCAAAGACAGCTTGTAACTGCAACAAAATGCTTTACAGTTTTCGTAAAAGCGTCCATTAATTTGAAGCATATTTGAATAAAATATGTAAAGATAAAACAAAAGAATAAGAACAAATAGGAAAAGTTGTTTAATAAAATGCATAAACTTTCAGGAGTGATTTAAAATGATCCAAATCTTTGGCAGATTTTCTATTGATGGGTGAAGTGTTCCATAAATGTGGTGCAGTAACAGCCTCCTTAAATCTCGCTTAAATCTGGTGCTTGGAACTTGTAGTTTGGTCGTAGTGTTATGGAATTGGAGCGGTTCTGCAGAGGATGTTTGAGGTTTGAAGGGGGTAATACGGTGGCCAGGAGGTGCAAACCATCATTACAAAATCTAAAAAACTTTTACAAGTTCCAAAACAAATTATCATTTGAGGAAATGAACCAGAAAGAGTAGGCACTAACTCCGAGGCTGAACCGGTCTTGTGCGAAATTCTGTTTCTGTTCTTCCTGTGTCGTGTGGAAACAGGGTTGAATTCCTCAAATGATCATTTGTTTTGGGAGTTTCAGATGTTCTTTTATTTGTTTTCTTAAAATGCTATTTGTTTTGAATTTTTAAAAGTGTTTTGTTTATTTTTATTTTTTTATTTTTAAATGTAAATTTGTAAATTTGTTGGAACTTATAAAAGTGTTTCTAAAATGTAAATTTGTTTTCTGAAATTATCATTTGTTTTAGAACTTGTAAAAGTTTTTAAGATTTTGTAATGTTGGTTTGCACCTCCCGGCCACCGTAGGATAAACCATTAAAAACAGAAAAAAATCAATACACGACTTTTAAAATCTGACAAGATAAAGGCAGCCAATCCAGAGAAGCCACTGCTACAGTAATTTGTTCACACTTTTTGGATTAAGTGAAGTTATTTTCAAATTTCAGTTTTTCAAATTGTGTTTCACAGATTGCATTCCCTTCATTTCCAGCCCAATATAAACTCTCACTCTTGACCAATGAAAATATGTGCTGACTCCTCACTCCTGAAAAGCCTACCCTCAGAAATGAAAGAATATAATCCTTAAAACATAAGAAAATTAAAGAAAAGAATACATTTTAAAAAAAATGTCACAACTCAGAACAGAGGACCTAGTATTCAAGGCAAGACAGACAGTTGGAATATTCAAAAAGTGTTTATTTAAAATCGGATCAGCAAATCTGCAGTAGCAGTGGCTAAGGAGGCTAACTCTGCAGGAGAGAAACACAGGTGAGTCACTAACCTGGTTTAATAGTTCAGTCCATGCCCAGAGAACAAGGTAGGATCCAGCTGGTAAGCTGCCAAGAAAATGCAACGGGTGTCACATTGAAGCCCTGCAGAACAAGCAGGAGTCAGAAGCCTGGTCAGGCAAACAGATGAGAGCTAAAACAGTGATGCTCCAAGGCTGAGAGGCAGAATAGGATCAGGTAATCAGAAGCATTAAGGTAGGCTAAAGACACTCTCACCACAGACTGGAGAGAAATAATTTGGCCCTGATGACTGGTTGCAGGCAGTTTAAATAGAGACAGGAGCAGGTGGATAAGATGAGCAATAATGGGAAACCCTGCAGAGTTAGACAGGTGAATAAAATGAGTAATTAAGCAGTCATCAGCGACAACATCAAGACAGAAAATCAACTTAAAAAACAAAAATTTGAAAAAATGAAAATATATAATCTGTAAAAAAATAGAAATTTAACAAAAACTAACATTTTGAAAATACAAAATTACTTTTTGAATAACATTTGAGAAAAGTAAAATGCAAAAAAATAAGAAGTGAAAATTGAAAGAACAAAATCTGAGAAAGCAGCACCGTTTTAAATAAATGTTAGACTGCTTTCATTTTGTCGCTTTTAGATTTTTTGATTTTTTTTTTTCAAATCCAATTTCAATCATAGTGGAACAAAAGACACTCCATATATTAAACCTGTGTATTTGCAGTGGCGCCCCCTAAAGATGGCAGCAGAAAAGACGGAGCACCGAGTCATGTGTTCTTTCTATAGTAGTTTTGTCGTTTTTTTAGTTTTGTACATTTTCCTCCCAGTCGTCTTCAATGTTCATTTTAATAGCCAGTAGTAATACATTCTTATGAGCTTCAAACAGCTGAAAATGTTGTTACCTCCTATTATTCACAGTCAAAACATTTCAAACAAACAATTTCATCTGTCAAATTATTTCAAACAACAAAGTAAATATTAACATTCCTGATTGCCTAATTATCACATGGTGATTCATTTCTTTAGAGAGCTTGGGGCATTTGGAGCTTGTTGGATTGTTTTTATTCTTGTAAAAGAAGATCGGAGCTTTAAAACCATCCTCGGATTCATGTTGTCATCCAACCCCCCCCCCCCCCCCCCCCATCGCTCTGTGTTTCAAAGGATCTGCCACTCTTCTGTCCACCTCACCTCACAGGAAGCATTTATATTCTTCTCCTCCCCCATTAGCTTACGTTTCAGGCCTGCCAGTCTCTTCGATCAGTGACTGACGTATTCCTCAGATCTGCGTGACGCAGGCCTATGAAATGACTGTCAGTTGCAGCCCCTCCTCAAGCGAGGGTCGCCACTGAGCCAAACCCTGGAAACACAAATGGTGACGAGGGGGAGGAGAGCAATTTATGAAAATAGGGGGGAATAAAAAAAGGCCTTTATAAACCTAAATTATATACCAGAGGGAAAAGAACAAGGATCCAAATTACAGGGTTCAGGTTGCACTAAAATAACCATTTCAGCATATTTCAGCATGATTTGCATATCAAAAAAATAAAAAAAAGTTTGATTAACTAAACAATGCTAGGTCTGAATGTTTTAATGCATAACAATTATGTTTAGAGTGATTCTCATTTCTCTCTCTTAAAATCACTTTAGTGTTTTGAAAGTGCTCTGCTGGTGAGCTGAGTGTGTTTGTGTGAAATCAGGTCCAGTGGACGTGTCCGTTCAGGCCAAATGCAGCCCATGCGTGTCCTCGCCTTGCCAGAACCAGGGAACCTGCCACATCCACCAAACCCAACAGTACACCTGCAGCTGCAGGTCTGGCTTCACGGTACGAACCCAGGCGTAACGGCGGGAGCGAGAGGAAAGGATCTAATAAACCTCCTTTCCATTTCTCTTCATCTGTGTGTTTCCAGATTGATCTCAGCTGATTTCTGCCTGTAATAATGATGATGTCATAATAATGATGTTGGTGCATACTTATGGTGGTGTCAGAAGTACACACATTTGTTGCTTAAGTAGAAGTATACTGCAGTTTAAAAACACTCTGGTAAAAGTTGAAGTATCATTTTCACCTCTTTACTCAAGTAAAAGTAAAAAGTATGTGCTCCAAAAACTACTTAAAGTATAAAAGTATAAAGTAGGGATGCACAATATTGGGATTTTGGCCGATATCCGATATGCCGATATTTTAAAACTCATGTAGCCGATAACCGATATCGATACCGATGTTAAAGCTGGACAAAAATAAGTAGTCATTGAAAATAGCAGTTTTGTTATCCATTTCTGACACTTTGAAAAATAATATACTCAAATATATTTTCATATGCTGATATCAAATAGATTTTTTAAAAACGCGGTATCGATCTATTTTACTTTCAAAATCTTGCGAAATTTCATCGTTCTGTTACAAACTCTCGTGATATTTTGCAAATTCTTGTGAGATTTTGTTAGTAAAATAGATCGATACCGCGTCAATATATCAACATATAAAGATATGGCAACATTTCGTGAATTTTCGGGGGATTTCGTAGCATAACGATGACATATAGCAATATTTCATTAGTAAAAGAGATTGATATGGTGTTTTTAAATGGCAATATATCAGCATATAAAGATATTGTGATATTTTAATGTATCAATATTTTTTCCCTCGTCTGTAGAAGTTTTTAAGTCTGTAAAAAAGAAGTTTTTGAGGAAGAAGAAGTAGTTTTTTTTTTTTTTTTTTTACTTTAGAAACTCAGAAGCTGATCAAATATCGGGTTAAATATCGGTGGGGTGGCCGATGTCCGATATTAAGTTTTAAGGCCGATACAGGCCGATACCGATAGGGGGCCGATTATATCGTGCATCCCTAGTATAAAGTAACCTTAAAAAAAAGAACAGCCAGATCCCACTATATGAATTGAAAGCTCAACTTTTCGACTACTTTAAAAAAATTCTTTGAGATATGGCCAAGGATGAGGGAGGTCTTGTTGGTCTCCGTCTCCCGATATGCTCTCGCCTGTGTCCGACCTTTCAGACATTTCAACATCTTTTTCTGAATCCATCATTTGTAGCATGGGATAGATGATTCACATTTGCAGTTTGAAGAACACCTGCTTGCTTCTGATGATTTCCTTTAGCTAATCAATGAGTGTTTGCGTTATATGACTCATCCAATCACACTAGTTTTCACTGGATGTGGGTGTGGCCAATTATCTGCATTGGATGGCGCACATGTCATTAAATAAATATTTTTACATATTAAACCGAAGCTAAGAGTAACCAGTAAAGTTTGTTTTAAAAATGTAAAGAATAGGAAGTACAGTGTCAGGTCTAAGCACCTAAAACATCATACAAACATGCAGGGAAAGAAAGAAGGCACAGAGACAATTAATTTAGTTTACTCGCGAGGAGAGTTGGAAGAGACTGCAGAGTTTACAAATCTCAACCCACTCTGCATTCCCAGCGTTCTCCATCGCTATTTATTGGAATCAGTGGTCCCAGCTGAGACTACACAGGGTGGGGGGAACAAGACAAGGTACTCAGACTTGCAGTCTCAGTAAACATGTCCTCTAAATCTCAGGGTTCAGTCAAAGTTTAAGCTGTTGAAGCTGTTCACCAAAGATCAGCAGGTTGAGTGCTGCTGGTAGATCAACCACAACCTCCCCAAAAGCAAATCTATCTATAGCACACAGCTTTATGCATGATAACACTACACAGATACATTTATATACAATTATTCTAACATACAGATACTTGTGTGAAAAATGTAATGAGTAGAAGTCAGAAGTAGGAAGAAAAATAAGTAATGGAGTAAAGTATAGATACTTAAAAAGTGTACTTAAATACAGTAACGAAGTATTTGTACTTTGTTACTACACACCTGTGATACTCATGCATGTGTTTGTGTTCTGGGTGTTCAGGGTAAACATTGTGAGACCCCGGTCGATGCTTGTGTCAGCAACCCCTGCACCAATGGAGGAACCTGCCTAAGAGACGAGCAGACAGGAGGCTTCAGGTAGCAAGCTGGTTGTTTTTGGTTAGCAGTAACCAACAGCAACAAAGCCATTAAAGCATGAAGCTTTCTGTTTTCTCTCCACTTTTATCGTCAGTGTTGTTGTTTGTTTTTTGGCCATCAGTCTGTAGCCAATAAAGGAACAAAGAAGCAGTGGAAAAATATTTGGTTCACATTTTCTCAACTGAATTTGTCCTTGAACTGATCACATGTTTTCTACCAAGCTGTGGTCACAATACAGCAGGCGGAACAGGGCTGTCAAACGTATGTTTTTATTGGACCACTTGGGCAGCATTGAGTCAGTATTGAATCATTGAGCTTTTTATCTTATACTCTGTTTATCTAGAATAAGCTCCCAGAAAACTATAAAAGTTCTAAAACCCTAAATAACTTTAAATCCAAATTAAAAAGTGTTTGTTTATAATAGACTTCGACCGAGCGATCTAAACATTATTAATTAAGTTTACGGTCAAATATTTCTTTCATTTGTTATTGCAAATTTTATGTATGTTTTTTTAATTCTAATTATTTAATATTAATAATTTTTACTATTTTACTTACTTCTTTTACCTTTATCCCATTGCAATATTCTTAGCTTTTTCAGTTTTCCCTCATATAGAGCACTTTGAATTGTCTTGCTACTTAAAAATATGCAAAATAAAAAATTTCCAGTG